GCCACTTGTTTGCCCTACATGGTCTACCACAAGAGAACAACCACAAAACAACAGTAGAAAAATGAACTTGTTACATGTGAACTTGTTTGGCAAAAGTGGAGCTCTATTCAGTGTTGGGTGTTGAATATATGGAGTCAGAGTTTTGGTGGTGGTTGATGTGGAGTATTTACAGTGCTTATGATGTGTCGATTTGGTTGGTATTTGGTTGCTGGATGATAATAGCTGGGTGTTTGGGTGGTGGCTATGATGGTTTGTGGTTGATGGGGTTGGAGCTTTTGGCTCAATTGGTCAAAGAGAAAAGAAAGAAAATGGAGAAAAATAAAGGCTAAGGGTACAAAAATAATTTTAAACTTTCTGTCTAATTCATCAGTTAACTTAAGGGGACAAATTATTCAATTTTAAATTACCGTATAAAGTGCAACATGCCTTGCAACTTGAAACACTTCTCATTAATAGATGGCTGAAGCATTAGTAAGAAAGAAAAAAAGGAATAAACCATTATAAAAGAAAAGTGAAAATACCATCGTTCCAACCCTTGAATTGATCTAAATACACTCACATCAATCAACTTTAAACCAATCCATTGCAAGGGATTGAATAATCAAGTAGACCCACATTAATCAATTTGAAAACCAATTCATAGCATAAGATGCAAATAAGTTGGGAATTTTTGCAACCTAAAATTTCACTATTTTCCAAGCAAACACCTAACTCTAGTCTAAAACCAATCATTTGACAGTGAAAATTCAATAAGCAAAACAAACCCACAATCAAAGATTCGATTTTTGATTTCATTAACAAACTCTAACTAATCACAACATAAAAACTAAAAAGTTCTAGGATTTTCAAAAAAATTCAAAAATTATAGGGTTTTCATCCATCTTATCAAACACAAAAGAAACAAAATATATCATTTCTATTTTTCTTTCTTGAAGGATAAAAAATGCATCATTCTTATTTTCTATCCCACCTGGTCTCATCGTTTCTATTGCACAGAACTAAACCGACACGTTTGTGGAAGTCGACAGTCAATAATTTACGCATTCAATCGTCAACTAAGAAAAATTGCAATATGAAAGCTGACATCAAACCTCAAAAGTCAAATGCTTATTTAATATGGAAGACAATTGAATATGAAATAGTTGTTTTGAGGGCAAACTATATTTTTCCTCCCCTTCTATGGGTCCAATCTCACTTTACCCCTTCAAGTATTGACNTAGTCAACGATTCTCCCACAATAAATACAAAACGCATCTTGTCCCTTTGCGTCCCACGCAACACCCACACATTTCGTTTACCCCATCCATCGTCTGAGTCGCAGAGAGAATGACCATAACAATGGCGACCATTACCAGTACCAACCCAGCCCAAGACTACAACAGACTTGAAGAAGCGAAGAAGTTAGATGAATCCAAACTGGAGTGAAAGGCCTCGTTGATTCTGGCCTCACCACCATCCCTCGCATTTTCCACCATCCACCCCAAAACTCGCCCAACCCAAAATCCTTAACCCGAAACGCCAAATTATCACTACCCATCATCGACCTCTCTAGTACCCGCTCAATTGTGGTTGACCAGATTCGTCTCGCCTCCTCAACCATTGGGTTCTTCCAAATAACCAACCATGGCATACCAAAAACTGCCATGGACCATATGCTTTCCTCTATCAAGTCTTTCCATGAATTACCAGATACCACTAGGATGCAATATTATAGGAGGGACACCTCTCATGGTGTAGCCTACTATACTAAGAAATTAGTTTGGAGACTCTTCAAATGATGGGGATTTGTATAAATACCTTATGGAAAATAAATCACGCATTCATCACCGACATTCATTATTAATAACAATTTTTTTACCGATCAACACATGGTATCACCGTTACATTGAATATTTATTCCTGTCTTTGATCAGACCAAAGAAAAAATTAGTCGAGTTACACCTGACCTGCCCTGAACACTCGGGACAATTAAAAAAAAATAAAAAAATTGTAAATTTAGGTTTGGGGTTGAAATCTCATTGTCCTTGTCCCCTAACATGTCTTTTGTCAAAAACTATGTCAAACATGAGATAGGAAAGCCGTGAAGGCACCAATGACTGCCACTTGTTTGCCCTACATGGTCTACCACAAGAGAACAACCACAAAACAACAGTAGAAAAATGAACTTGTTACATATGAACATGTTTGGCAAAAGTGGAGCTCTATTCAGTGTTGGGTGTTGAATATATGGAGTCAGAGTTTTGGTGGTGGTTGATGTGGAGTATTTACAGTGCTTATGATGTGTCGATTTGGTTGGTATTTGGTTGCTGGATGATAATAGCTGGGTGTTTGGGTGGTGGCTATGATGGTTTGTGGTTGATGGGGTTGGAGCTTTTGGCTCAATTGGTCAAAGAGAAAAGAAAGAAAATGGAGAAAAATAAAGGCTAAGGGTACAAAAATAATTTTAAACTTTCTGTCTAATTCATCAGTTAACTTAAGAGGACAAATTATTCAATTTTAAATTACCGTATAAAGTGCAACATGCCTTGCAACTTGCAACACTTCTCATTAATAGATGGCTGAAGCATTAGTAAGAAAAAAAAAAAGGAATAAACCATTATAAAAGAAAAGTGAAAATACCATCGTTCCAACCCTTGAATTGATCTAAATACACTCACATCAATCAACTTTAAACCAATCCATTGCAAGGGATTGAATAATCAAGTAGACCCACATTAATCAATTTGAAAACCAATTCATAGCATAAGATGCAAATAAGTTGGGAATTTTTGCAACCTAAAATTTCACTATTTTCCAAGCAAACACTTAACTCTACCCTAAAACCAATCATTCGAAAGTAAAAATTCAATAAGCAAAACAAACCCACAATCAAAGATTCAAATTACGATTTCATTAACAAACTCTAACTAATCACAACATAAAAACTAAAAATTTCTAGAGTTTTCAAAAAAAATTCAAAAATTATAGGGTTTCCATCCATCGTATCAAACACAAAAGAAACAAAATATATCATTTCCATTTTTCTTTCTTGAAGGATAAAAAATGCATCCTTCTTATTTTCTATCCCACCTGGTCTTATCGTTTCTACTGCACAGAACTAAACCGAAACGTTTGTGGAAGTCGACAATCAATAATTTACGCATTCAATCGTCGAGTAAGAAATAATTGCAATATGAAAGCTGACATCAAACCTCAAAAGTCAAATGCTTATTTAATATGGAAGACAATTGAATATGAAATAGTTGTTTTGAGGGCAAACTATATTTTTCCTCCTTTTCTATGGGTCCAATCTCACTTTACCCCTTCAAGTATTGACTTTCTCATGTTGCTCTCTTAACTATTTGAATTTATATGACACAACCCCCAAGTCAAATGCCCATCATATTTTGGATAAAACAAAGGACAAGATTTATAGGATAATATAAATTTCCAATGTCTACAATTTGTGCAATGAAAATCAATAGTTATAGTTTTATGGTGCAAAATAAGAAAACCAATAGTTAAGGGGGCAATGTAGAATCAATATTCTACTTTGTGCTACAACGTGAGAAATATAATAGTAGAGGGGACAGTGTGAAAAAAACACATGGTTGAAGGATCATAGTATAAAATTTGCTATTGGTAATGTAATCTCAATATTCAACGATTCTCCACCATAAATAGAAAGCGCACCTATTCCCTTTGCTTCACATGCAACACCCACATACTTCTTACATCCTATCCATTTTCTAAATCGTAGTGAGAGAAAGACCATAAACATAAAAATGGCAACCACTACCACTACCAATCCAGACCAACACTACAACAGACTCGAAGAAGCGAAGAAGTTAGATGAATCCAAAACAGGAGTGAAAGGCCTCGTTGATTCTGGCCTCACCACCATCCCTCGCATCTTCCACCATCCACCCCAAAACTCGCCAAATCCAAAACCCTTAACTCGAAACCCCAAACTATCACTACCCATTATCGACCTCTCTAGCACCCGATCAATAGTGGTTGACCAGATCCGTCACGCCGCCTCAACCATTGGGTTCTTCCAAATAACCCACCATGGCATACCAAAAACTGCCATGGACCATATGCTTTCATCTATCAAGTCTTTCCATGAATTACCAGATACTACTAGGATGCAATATTATAGTAGGGACACCTCTCATGGTGTAGCCTACTATACTAACTTTGATTTGTACAAGTGCAAGGAAGCTAATTGGAGGGACTCACTCGAGATTCGCTTAGGTCCCACACCTCCAGAACCAAAGTACGTTCCGGAGGTATGCAAGGAAGCACTAGCAGAGTGGGACGGAGAGGTGGTGAAGTTGGGGGAGGAGTTGATGGGGATGTTGTGTGAGGGATTGGGGGTGGAGAGAGAACGGTTGAAGGAAATGTCATTTTTTGATACGAGGTATATGTCTGGACATTACTATCCGTATTGTCCCCAGCCGGAGTTGACGGTGGGTCTCAAGTGGCATACGGATCCGGTGGTCTTGACGGTGTTGTTGCTGAATGAGGTTGCTGGGTTGCAAGTGAAACACGGTGAGGATTGGATTGATGTGGAACCTATCCCTGGTGGTCTGATTGTCAACATTGGTGATATACTTCAGGTAAGTCACTCAATCACGTGAACGAAGTGGTTGTGTCTTAGAAGGTATTGGACAACCATTATTAATTTGTGCACATGGAATTCATAGAAATTCATCTGAGATTGAAGATAATAAAAGATTTAAAAAGAAATGAAAAACAAACATACAAGTCCAATGATGAATACAAACATATTTTTTAAACATATGCGCCTAATGATGAATTTAAACACATATTTTTTAAGCGTAAATAGTATTTTTTATTTTTAAAATATGTATTTTTTATCAGTTTAGTCCTCATTGTATCAATTTTGTTCATAAAATATTTCATTTCTATTACTTTGATTCTTAATCAGACAATCTGTCAAGTTTTTTGACAGAAATGATCATATGTTATTTTTTTTATATGGTATCATGTGCCAAATACATTATCATTCCGTCAAAAACTTAACGGTTTCTCTATATAACACCAATTGAATATTTTATGGATCATCAAACTGACAAAATTGATATAATGAAGACTAAATTGACAAATATATATATATATATATATATATACTTTAAGGATAAAAAATACTATTAATTCTTTTTTTAAAGTCAACGATCACAAAAAAATAAAAAATAAAATACATAAGAATCACTTAACTCTCTTTTGCAGATGATGTCCAACGGTGAATACAAAAGTGTGGAGCATCGAGTGTTGGCCAACCCTTACCGTGAGGCACGTGTCTCAATCCCAGTTTTCTTCACTTCAAGCATGACAGAGAAACCGTTTGAACCATTACTAGAATTGGTGTCACTAGAGAAGCCGGCTGTTTACGAAAAATTCACACTCTCAGACTTCATGAGAAAATACTATTCTGAAGAATTACGTGGCAAGTCTGTGACGAATACCTACAAAGTCTCCAACATATAAGTGCTGGTGTTGGACATGGAAGGAAATCATATATGATTGCAAAATAAAAGAAAACACTAAATAACTGAAAGAAAACAATAAGTTAAAATAAAATGTTATTGAAAATAGTTGGATGTAAATCACTTCATTACCTTTTTTTTCAATTTTTTTAAAGGATAGATCTCCTGCCATTAATGCATGTACAATCCACTAATTAAAAGTGGGTCCCAAATTATATATGATGAATGATCTATCTATTAAACAAAATTAGAAGAAAATGTATTAGAAGAGATATCACTCCAAAATATTTTGATGATGCCCTTGTATGTTTCTTATGTGTATGCCCTTGTATGTTTCTTGGATATTGAAGAATTACAAGAAATTATTGAGTAATATAAATGAATTTTTTTTAATTTGTAAAATGAGTTGTAGTTAATTAGTGGATTGAAGAATTGTTACATGAGATGTGGCAGAATGTCATTGGATAATAACTTAAAATGCAATTCAATAAATAAGAATTTTAAGAAAAAAAATGGGGAGTAAAGACTTCTCAAGTTCTATCTCCCCCAAATTGATCATAATAATGGAGGTTTTACCCTAATCCATAGGGTTTTTAAAAAATATACCCAAAAGAGGTTAGTTTTCAAAATATTTTTCAAATTCAGGCACTTTTAAAAAGTTATTTGGAATGACATTTTTTTTTGCCAAAAAGTTAGTTGGAGTAATTTTTTTAGCATAAAAACGTTAAGTTAAATGACATTTTTTGTCCATTTACAGGACCTAAAGACGTTAGTTGTGACGTTTTCAATGAAAACGTCAATTATACTGACATTTTTATTGTTTTAGTCAATGTGTATATGAGTTTTTTAGGATGTGTTTGGGATGATGTAACAAGTTCATTTTCTCTACTGTTGTTTTGTTGTTGTTCTCTTGTGGTAGACCTTTTAGGGCAAACAATCCTTTCAAGATTGACTTTTTCTGTCATACATTATTACTATTAAGTTTTTTCCTTGAAATAACTTTTATACACCTGGGTTCGTTTTTATGGTTGTGAATGGCAACTTTGCGTTTACTAAATCCAAAGGTTAGGGATGACAATTTGTTGTCCCACAAGAACTCCTATGACTTGAGTTGGTCAATTAGACTCTACTAGGTCTTAGAACTTTGCTACATAAACAAAATACATGGCTCCATTTTGTTAGATTCCTCCTCTATTTTCCTAGTATCCATTATTTTGTGTATTATGAGTACCCATTAACTTAGTTTATTATGAATATACTAATCCTCTCTTCATTGGTATGCTCTTCGCAAGGCTTCACCTCCTGTGAATCAGTATGTTTGTGACAAAGAAAAATATCGAAATATTTCGTGAAACAAAAATAAAATAGTATAAAATTGTGGTGTTTTGATTTGAACAAAATATCATTTTAATGTATTTCGTATGCAATCATGTACTAAATTCTCTCTCTTTCAAAACAAATAATAAAAAAAAGGTAATAATAATTAGGAGGATACGAGAGCGAAGAGGACATCCCAGAGGGAAAACAATAAAAAAATGTGAAAAAAGGTATTTCATAAAATATTTCTAAATAATTTCACGGGTAATTCAAGTTGTAACACAAATAAGTTTTAAATTTAAACATCATGAGTTCAAATCTTGACAAATTTTTGGGGCCAGGTCATTAGAGATTTACCCTCATGAATACTTTAATCTCGACGTGGATGGTCAGAAAATATTTATCACAACGGTAATACCACATGACATGCTGATGTGGTATCATCAACCAATAATAGTAAAACAAATAAACAAATGAGCCTTACAAAAATTAATAACCAACTCGCCACGTAAGCCATTAACTCTTCACTCCCAAGTGGGGTTCACCTTACTCACTTTGAGTTTTATTATTGATTGATGATACAGTGTTATTAATGCTGACATGATGTAGAGCAAAAATTTGAATATTTTGCCGAACATGACTTCACTCATATAACAAATAATTATACGAGTTTTATTAAATGCAGGTTAGACTCACTCCAGTTGGTATATATCCGTTCAATATAATCTCTTATTTTAAGAAAACACCCTTTGATTCTAAGGAGAAATTATCACACATTACCATTACACCACAAGGACATTTTATTTATGATGGTGGCTAGACCTAGGTTAATTGCCTAGGCTGCTCTGCGTACCCGTTATTGGGATCAAACCGATTTATAGTTCAAAGAGATTAAATTATTTTTGGGTTAAGATCGACGGGTAGATGACTTATTGATCTTGAATGGACAAAATGTTCAATATGTTTGAAATGAGTAAATGACCAGTTGAATTGATTTGGGTTTAAGGACCACTTGATCGTGGAGGAGTTGTGACTACGCCTAGTTTAACTAGACTGTCTACATATCCGAAAGGGAATCAAGTCAGTCGTAGTTTATGAGATAGTAAAATTAGAATTTATTTGAAGTTAATTTGGACTTATAACTGTGCCTAGTTTAATTAGACTGCCTACGTATCTGAAAGGGAATCAAATCAGCCGTAGTTCATGAAAATTTTTGTATTTAGGAATGCAACTATGCCTAGGGTAGATGCTAGACTGCCTATCTATTCAAAAATGGAATCAAGTCGGACGTAGTTCAAATTTTAGGAATTTAATTGAAGGTAATTTGAAATTTCAACTATGCTCCAGGTAGTTGTTGGACTACCTACATATCCAAGAAAAATGGAATCAAATCGGACGTAATTCAACAAATAATTTTGAATTTGAGTGAGGTTTTAAATGAGTGAATGACTCATTTAATTTGGTTTGAAATGGGTAAATGACCCATTTGATTTGAATGAAGTTGTGTTTGATAACTTGGATTTGTATGACTTTTAGGATTCATTCAAATGGGTGAACCCCACTTGGGAGTGAAGAGTCAATGGTGACATGGTGTAGGGCAAAAATTTGAATATTTTGCCGAACATAAATTTACTAATATAACAAAGAATAATACGACTTTTATTAAATGCAGGTTAGACTCATTCCAGATAGTATATATCCATTCATTATAATCTATTGTTTCAAGAGAACACTCTTTGATTCTAAGGAGAAATTATCACACGTTACCATTACACCACAAGGGCATTTTATTTGTGATGGTGGCTGGACCTAGGTTAATTGTCTAGGCTGCTCTTCGTACTCGTTATCGGGATCTAGCCAGTTCGTAGTTCAGAGAGATTAAATTATTTTTGGGTTAAGATCAACGCGTAGATGACCCAATGATCTTGAATGAAGAAAATGTCCATTATGTTTGAAATGAGTAAATGACCATTTGAATTGATATGAGTTTAATGACCACTTGATTGTGGAGGAGTTGTGACTGCGCCTAATTTAACTTGACTGCCTACATATTCGAAAGGGAATTCAGATTGTGGAGAAGTTGTGACTGCGCCTAATTTAACTGGATTGCCTACATATTCGAAAGAGAATTAAGTCAGTCGTAGTTTATGAGGTAATAAAATTAGAATTTATTCAAAGTTGATTTGCACTTGTGATTGTGCCTAGTTTAACTAGATTTCCTACGTATCCGAAATGGAATCAAGTCAGCCGTAGTTCATGAATTTTTTTTTATTTAGGAATGCAACTATGCCCAGGGTAGATGCTGGACTGTCTATGTATCTAAAAATATAATCAAGTCGGACGTACTTCAAATTTTAGGAATTTAATTGAAAGTGATTTAGAATTTCGACTGTGCCTAAAGTAGATGTTGGACTACCTACATATCCAAAAAAAATGGAATCAAGTTGGACGTAGTTCAACAAATAATTTTGAATTTGAGTGAAGTTTTAATTGAGTGCATGACTCATTTAATTTGGTTTGAAATTGGTGAATGACCCATTTGATTTGAATGAAGTTGTGTTTGACAACTTGGATTTGCATGACTTTTAGGATTCACATAGAGTGCGATTTGATGAAATTAAATTTCATGTAAGATTATTGATTTTATGTGAGTTTGAAACTCAAAAAAGATCTATAAAGAGTCCAAGACTCTTTTCATAAAGATCGTTGAGTTTTAAACCTCTTGAAAATTAGTAAAGAGTTTCTAACTCTTTAATTTGATTTCTGCACTATTTAATCTGTAGGAGTTTGAAACTCCAAAAATAGTGATAGATTTAAAATGGACAAATTATTGTTGCATTTTCCAAAAAGAATCCAAGATTCCTTGTTTCGTTTTTCATGCGCTTTTGGTAGAGCACAATATTTCTGGGTCATTGTGTGTTGTATGAGAAGCTAAAAACTTCTTTGACTTAGTAAGATTTAAAAACTCCTTTGGTTTATGCTTAGTCAGTAGGAGTTAGAAACTCCTTTATTTTATAATTTGATTGCACACTCTTGCCGGAGTTAGAAACTCTTTTAATTTGGATTTTGGAAATCTAACAACTTAGATATCAGAAGAAACCCAAAAGAACCCACACTTACTTATTGACATTAATGTTAGCGGTTTTGAAGCCATTTTGCCCCTTTTTGGTGGTCTTCAAAGACCAAAGAGGCATCCAAAGAAACATCTTTAGATTGGTCTTTGAAAAACCAAGTATGCATTTCTGAATTGCTCTTTGAAAGACTAAAAACTACTGACATTCTTTGTTCATAATAGGTTTTCACGATGGGGAGGAGAGCAAGTTTCTTTCCATTTCCAAGAGTATAAAACTCTTGCATTTTTTGTGTAGATTCACGCTTTAATTAGAAAACTCCCATATTTTGTAACTTAGGAGCAACTAAAGCAACTGAATTTTAAAGAGTAGAAGATCCCTTAACAGTAGGCAGAAATAATTTGGAGTTGAGACTCCGTTGGTGTTGTGGGAATTAAAAATTCCTCGTTTTCATTTCGCCACAAACTTTTTCGAAGTAAAAAACTCCACATAAGAGTGCACTCACTCTAGTTAATATTTTTTTTAGGGTAGGCGAAGACTCCACGACTTGATGAAATAGGCGAAAACTCTTGATGGTACTTAAACGAGTTTAAAACTCGTAAAATAATTTTTC